AGGATCACATGACCTGGAAGGTATTCGAAGCAATAACTAATGTCCATCACCATATTAATATAAAAATATTTAGAGTGCAAATGCAATAAAAAGGTCCCCCTAGCATAGCCCAGATGTTATTAGCTTTTGACCCAGCATTGTCGATAGCGTGATGGACGGATCATGTATCACATGACCTGGAAGGTTTATGGCGCACACATGACACACGTGAATGTTCGCCATCACTAGAGTACCCACCTACAAAACCTTAGCACGCGTCCACGCATAAATGAGAACAGTGTTCACATGCAGCCAGTGTAGAGCGTGTCTTTACCCAGCAGCTGAGTCCATTGAGATGTAGGGTGACTCCCACACCTGAACCGTTACCTGAAGAAACTACCAATTAATATACAACACACGTTCCTAAAGTCAAAATGAATACTAGAGTAGTGCACAAAGCACGCGCCCCAGCGACACCTCTATTCCCACCTTGACGAGTGATGGTGCGTAAAGCACGGCTGTGCACCAGAGCGCGAACGGTGAGCGCGATATATCCTTATAATATTGTCCCATCACATATATTAGTTTTCATCATAAAGATAGATTAGAGGGTCTTTAAAAATTGCAATAAGAAAGACGAGTGTTATGATCCTCATGCACTGCCGAGAGTGAATACCTTGACCAGCATGTCTAATGTTAGAATCATACATTTATTGTGGAGGGAACAAAGTCGTCTACATCACCCCAAAAAAACGTCATGGCCACTGGCTACTACTGAAGAAACACATCGGATCGATGTCTCATGTGTTTCTGAACTCTACTACAAGCATTGTGGATGAATTTATCTGTCTTCATTTCGACTTTGATATCTTAATTTCGGGTCTTATAAAAGTTGTCCTGTGTGTGAGGCAGTGCTTGTACGATACGAAAAACACTTTTATTGGTCAGACAAAGTCTGAAATGTGACTGTCCCTCCACAGCAGCCCCATGTGTAAAAACACAATACCAGCGAGAACCAGGAATATAAAGGGACACAATACATATAAGAAGCAAACATCAAAATGTAAACAGAGAGAATACAGCTCAAACCGTTCCCACAATCACTGAGAAGAGTAAATGCTCGAGCTCAAAGAGGCCTAGCTGCTTGTGACGCCAGATAGCATCATGTTAATCTATACCAGTGAGAAAGAAATTGAGCACTGTGTCAATTGCGAGTGCTTGTT